CCCATCCATCCTTAAGACCTAGTTCTTAATTCTTTATTCAGATAGTCGACGAATAGGTTTATAATGTTTAGCTATGTATGAATTGCTACACCAAGGATTCACCATGGAATGAGATAGGTAAACAGTTACTGTCCCTTTTATTATGGAGCTTGTGTCCTAGTGAGGGAAGCAGACATTCTCTCTTAACCCCCTTGTCATGGAGTACGCCACAATCCCCACTGAGCTCTCCTTCCTTCAAGTTCAGAAAACCTTTTTTTCCTATAGAGCAGTAACTCTAGAAACGCTGCTAAAATAATCTGCATTCATCAAAACTGAGAAATACAAATGAATGCTGCTCTTCTGGGGGATAACCTTAAGGGCTCTATCATTTATTTTTATGCTATAAGTACTATTCAAAGCATATAGATCATACTTCTTTAAGAGCATTTTGCATAGACTATAGTGCATTTATATAAATAGCTTCAGCATAGCAGGTGATCATCTATGTTGAGGATGCATTTGACTTTTTTAAAATAGTCCTGAGTCTCCCATAGCAAATTCTAGTGAATTAAGTGAAAATATATGACAGTAGCAAAGACACTGGTTTCTTGAAAAGGACATTCTGAGCAATTAATAGCGGCAATAAAAGGACTAACAAAAGCTTACACCCTACTTTGAAGGCTGACACTTACTTGAAATATCATAGTTCTCATAGATTTCCCTAAAGCCATTAATTTTAGCATTTTAGAGTTACAATTGTGAATTGCCTTGTGAATTCTTCACCTAGCATTTTTCTGTTTGATTTATATATTCCTCCAACTAAAAGATCAGTCCCTTAGGCCAGACCTGGTAGCACATGCGTTTAATCTCAGCACTCAGGAGGTACAGGCAGGCAGATCTCTGTAAGTTCGAGGCAGCCTGGTCTATAGTGTGAGATCCAAGCCAGCCAGGGCTACATAGTGAGACACTCTCTCAAAAGAAAGATCCCATAAGAGAAAGAAACTTACATTTGTTTATTTATGTAGTATTTATGTGTGTAAATGTGTGCAAAAGAACAGCTTATGGAAGTTGGTTCTCTCCTTCCACCATATGGATCCCAGAGATTAAACTCATATCCTCAGACAGCAAGTATCTTTATCCACTGAGCCATCTCACCATCCCAAATATTTTCTTTAATCTATGTTTTTTATTATGGGGTGCATGAACATGCCACAGCACACATGTGGAGGTCTGAGGACAACTTTTGAGAAAGAAGCTTGTTCCTTTGGATAATGACAGATAGTGCCATCTTTGTTTATTTTATTGTGTGAACCACTAATAAAGACAGAAGAACATCAGTTAATGACTATTGGCATCAAGACAATCTATAAAAATACTCTTGTGTATTGCTATTAATCAGCTTTAAAATATACACTTTTGGGATTGGGGAAATGGCTCACAGTTAATTACTGGCTACTTTTGCAGAGGACTAGAGTTCAGTTCCTACCACCCATGTTGGGTGACTCACAGTTGCTGGTAACTTTAGATCCAGTGGTTCCAACACATTCTTCTGGCCTGAGAGCTCAGACATACACATGTACACATAATTGAAAATTAAATAAATGTTTAAATAAAATCAAATAAACAATTTTGGCACTATGTAAGTCTATGGTGATTTTACAAATCCACTTGATATTTATGGGACAGTATCATTAGGCGATCATTTCAGATGAATTCATTTTTTTCCCGGTAAGAATATAGTAAGCCAAGCATGATGGCTCATGCTTATAAATCCCAGCACATGAGAGACTGAGACAGAAGGATAACTATGAGTTTGAGACCATACTGGAGTAATTCTGGGTCTAGTGTGAACCCTGTCTCAAACAAATAAACAAACAAATAAATAAAACCAAATACAAACAAAAAAATGACTAAAAATTAGGCTCAGCATAGTGGCACATATTTTTAATCCCAGCACTCAGGAAGCAGAGGCAGGTGGATCTCTGCAAGTACTAGGCCATCCTGCTCTACATAGTGAGTTCCAGGCCAGCCAGGGATGCATAGTGAGACCCTGTCTCAAAAAAAGAAAAACTAAAAACATAAGAACTAGCAAGAGGTCTCATAAAGTGAGATCCTCTTCTGGCCTAGGTAGGGCAAAACTTAATCATTTGTTTTTAGTTTCCTTATATCTTTGCAACAGCTATTATTGAATTCTGCTGTTAGAAGGATTTAGGAATGACTGAGTACTGTGCCTTGTTTTGGTTTTAAAAGTTATTAAGTAAAAATACTAACTTTTATCTTTAATTTTTTTCCAGAACCTTTGTTTCATTTTACCACAGTTTTTGTACCAATTCTTCTGTGGATTCTCACAGCAGGTATGTGCCCTGAGTCAGACATTGCAGTGTAGTTTACATGTGCTATTAAAATATTACATTTTAAGGGGCTGGAGAGATGACTCAGTAGTTAACAGCTCTAGCTGCTCTTGCAGAGGACCGTGTTCAGAGCCCAGCACCCACATGGTAGCTAACATCCATAACTCCAGTTGAGGGAATCTGACACCCTTTTCTGGCTTCTGCAAGCTTTGCACACATAGGATGCACTTGCAAACATGAAGGCAAAATACTCATAAACATAAAATAAAAACAAAAATTTTTTAAATACTACCTTTTATGAATTAGATTATAGGAATTAGAGAAATATGTTCTAAATAATTTTTTTACTTTAATAGTTGAAATTCTTAGCCTATTTTCTGCCTAGTTTTTGTTTAGTTTTTTACTACTAGGGATCAAGCTCATTACTTTGAACTGCCCTCCGAGTACTAGGATTACAGGCATATACCACTGTGTCCAACTTTGCCTGGTTTTCAATAGCAGCAAATGTTTTTGTTTTTACTTGGCTAGTTTTCTTTTTGAAGGATTTTTGGTATATCCTGTTACAGTCTAAGATAACAATATTTAGAGGTTATTTCCTTTTATTATTGTATCAGATGTGTTCCTCAAGTCCTAAAGTGTTATATCAAATAAAATCTTACACCTTTTTAGATTCTCTGGCTGATATTAAAGAAAACTATAAGTTTAGAAACTGATCAGAGAGCTATGATGCCTGGATAAAGCCTTGTATTACTGAAAGCAACTATAAATACTTCACCGTGTATTGTTCTCTGAACATTTGTTATATAATTTATATACTATAAATTAACTGGATGTTTAAGTGGTGGGATGGGAAGACATTTATTTTAATAGCTGAAATGGATTTTACATTGCTTCTTAGTGGAAGTATAGCCAATACAAGAGCTATAGTAATGACTGACTTAGAAATGTGGTAATGTATAAGCAGTTTAATGATTTTTGCCAACATTGTCACAGATATCGCTGACTGAATTTCTAAATTTCAAAAGCAAGCTTTATTTCTCTTGATTCTTAATGATATGAACTAATGTTTTCTGAGGCTATTGCAGTAGATCAAATCAAATGTCTTGCCTTTATGAAAGTTGCAATATAGTGATGAGGAAGAGACAGACAAAAAAATTCAAATATATGCTGTGGGGTACTGATATGTGCCTAGAGGAAAAGCATAAAGTATAATAAAAGTATATACTGTGCCTAGGCAAGAGGCTATTATTTTAAAGAAGATGAAACAATCTCTCTAATGAGGTAACATTTAGACCAAACCTGAGTAGTCTAGAGAAGAAACTATGCAGACATCTTTAAAAGTATTCCTGGTAAAAAGAAAAGCCCCAGGGCTGGAGAGATGGCTCAGCAGTTAAGAACACTGGTTGTTCTTGCAGGAGACCTGGGTTCGAATCCCAGCACCCACATGACAGCTAACAACTGTCTGTAACTCCAGTTTCAAGGGATCCAAAGGCCTCTTCTGTCCTCCGCGGGCATCATACGACATGGGTGCACTTACCTACATGCAGGCAATACACTCATACACATAAAATAAAAATAATAAAATATGTTTTTTAAAAAAAAGGTCCTAGGGCTAGAGAAATGGCTCAGCAGTTAAGAGCACTGGTCTCTCTTGCAGAAGACCCGGGTTCAATTCCCGTCACCCATATGGTGCTTACAACTGTCCATAACTTCAGTTCCAAGGAATCCAGTGCCCTCTTCTGACCTCCACAGGCATTATACAGCATGGGTGCACTTACATACTTGCAGGAAAAATACTCATACACATAAAATAAAAATGATAAAATATTTTTTTTAAAAAAAGGATGGTTTCATTAAGGAAGTGACTTGAAGGGCAAAGTCTTTTATCTTTTACCTTGGACTTGTGTTAGTGCTGGAGCAACCTTTATTGTGAGTGCCTTTAGAATGCATTTGGTAGTCATTTTCAATCCATGGCTACATTATGTGTTCTCTGGAATTTGGAGAGTAGACTGAAAATGTAGAAATGCAATCTAGATTCCACCATTTGAAGCAAAAACCTATTTTTCTGTAGTAAAGCTAGGATAATATTTGTCTCTTTTTCCATGAAAAGGATACATTTGTAACAGGTTTAACAAGGTGACAGTATTATCAGCTAAACCTGATCGTTTATCTTGGGGACGTTCTCTCTCCTTTAATTATGCATCTAAGAATTATAATTATCTGTCATGTAACCTTTAAGCTCCATCTGAAACAAAAGTAGATTGATACTTCTTTTGTTTGAATAACATTCAGTATTAAGTTACACATCAGTCAACCTGAAGACTTGTTTTAATTTACTCATTAGAGAAAATGAGTAGCTTCCAAAGAAATTTAGTATTGTATGCCATAGACTAGTATTCGCACTTGAAAATTAAAAGATGTATAGCGCCCTTTTTTTTAACTTTTCAATTCAATGGAATATTTTTCCTAAGTTTAAATTTTTGTTTATATGGAAGTATATGAGTAGTGTTTCCATGTTCTATTCAGACACATCCTTTCAATTTCATTGAGAACGTTAAATGCACTGTATCACTTGCCTTTTCTCTTATCACAAGCCATAGAATGTTGTGGTCTTCACCTCTGAGTCCACCAGGTCACTGTGTACCCCTAACTCTGCCTCCCTGTCTTGAATTTGAGCTTCATCATGTATGGAGATGAATCATCTCCCTTCCTGGTGTTTGATGCTTATTAGGCACTCAGTACATGGTTTGAAGTCAACTAATGAGTGAACTAATGCTCTGTTCAAGCTGTTTATCACCTTTACAGGTCGCTTTCCATTATGATAATTGTGTTTTTACTTCATTGAAGACTGATAATTGAGTAAATTTGTGTCACAATTAAATGAGTTTTATTAATCAGAACATTTATATGAGTGAATGTATCAGTATGCGGTGGTTTTTAGTCAAACCACAGAAAATGATTATGTTATGATACCTAGCACTATATAGATATACATACTAAATTCAGTACTTTCACCAGTATGAAGTTAATAAATTATCTTACGTTTTTCAGTGAAAGATATTTGGTGGGGGAGGGGGGACTCCTCAGTGCTTAAGAACACATACTGTTTCTGCAGAGTATACAAGTTAGGTTTACAAGACCAAACTATAGCTCAAAACTGCTTCTAACTCCAGCACCAGGGAATCCAGTGCCTTCTTATGTCCTCCATGGGCACCTGCACTCATGTGCACATACCCACACACAGACATGCATATGTGTGTGTGTGTGTGTGTGTGTGTGTAATTAAAATTTTAAAAATAAACCAGGCATGGAGTAATGCACACCTTTAATCCCAGCACCTGGGAGGCAGAGACAGGTGGATCCCTTTGAGATTGAGGCCATCCTGGTCTACATAGGGAATTCCAGGCCAGCTGGAGTTACTGGAAGACCCAGTAATACCTAATCAGTCCTTTACAAATGTAGTGTAGCTTCTCTTTTGTACCCATTCAGTCTTCCAATTTTTATTAAATACCTTCTGGATTCCAAGTTCTGTTTTGATATTTCAATATTGTCAGAGCCCTCAAAACAAAGATCACTAGGAGTATACTTATAGTTGAACTGATTATGTTTATTATTCCTCAGGTAGTGAGAACACCAGTGGTACTCTCAGGAAGATGGTGCTTTATTATACTATTTGGGCTTCTAAAATATTAACCACCATTCCAGAAACACCTTGAATTCATTAAACATTTGGTTTTTAATTTGGGAAAAAATAAATATAAAATATTAACCAGAAGAGAACTATAGTGTAGGTTTGACTACTCCTTATGGTTTATATTTTTCTAAGGACTCCTAGCTTATACTTTTTTTGGTCATTGTTAAAATAGCTACTGAATAATCAGACTTTTAGAAACTGAAAAGTTAATAGTTAATGTCATTAGAAATAAAGCTATATTATAGCATATAAGCATTTTGAATAAGAGCCTATTAAAGGGAAAGATATAGGCCAGGTGTTGTGGTGACACTGTTAAGCAAGAGGATCTTTGTGGAATTGAAGCAGTCTATCTCCTTCACAGTCTGACACATAACAAGCCAGGCAGCTAGAGCTACAAGAACCTTTCTCAAAAAACCAAAAAATAATAATAAAATAATAAATGGGAGTATATGTTAATATGACACATAAAAATGTTCTCTTTTTTTTTTGGTCATTTTGAGACAAGGACTCCCTGTAGCCCCAGCTGACCTGGGGTTATGTAGACCAGGCTGGCCTCAGTCTCACAGAGATCTGCCTGCCTCTGCCCCTCAAGTGCTGGGACTAAAGACTCGTGCCACCACGCCCAGTGTAAAATGTTCATTTTTTTATTCTCAGTAGATAGGATGATCTTATTTACAAAGTTTCCTTTTCTATCCCAAAAAAGCATAAAGGCAAACTATCTTATTTTAGCTAGTGATTTTTTTGTTGTTGTTGCAAATACATTGTTGTCTTGTAGATGAATGGCACAGTACATGTTTTTCTGTTTGTCATTTCAGCCACTTTATGATGCTGCTTATCTTACAATGTACAATATCTGCTTCACATCTCTGCCCATTCTGGCGTACAGTCTACTGGAACAGCACATCAACATTAATACTCTGATCTCAGACCCTCGATTATATATGTAAGTTGATAATACGGATCAAATTCCTTCAGACTTTTTTCTTTTGCTACAGTTTCTTACTTTGTGGCCAAGGCTGGCCTAGAAATTGCAGCAATCTTTCTGCCTCAGTCTTGGTATTATAGGCATAAGTCATCACACTGAGCTTTCCCCTCAGTCTTTCTAAGTAGTGGGTTTCATTTCATCTGCAGGTAGGAGGGACACAGAACTGATCACCTAATTTTATTAAATGGTTCTCTTGTGGATTTTCAGCTAAAACAGATAATTCAACCGGAAAGTAAAGTATTTCCTATGTATCAATCCTGTACTTAAATGTAGATGAGATATTTAGTTTAGAATTGCTTATCTCTGCCATATGAACCTGTACACCCATAGTGCTCTGCAGCCTTATAGAAAAATACAATGTTTTAACTGTCCCCAAAGTGCCATTTTTATTATTTATTTTTATTTTATGTGTATGAGTATATTGCCTGTATGTATGTAAGTGCACTTCTGCATGCAATGCCCACAGAGGTCAGAAGAGGGTATCGGATTCCTCTGGAACTGGACTTAAGGACAGATGTGGGTGCTGGGGACCCAACCTGGGCCCTCCACAAGAGCAGCCAGTACTCTTTACCACTGAGCCAACTCTCCAGTCCCCAGTTTTTTAAGGATTTATTTTACTACTTTTAATTGTGTGTGTGTGTGTGTGTGTGTGCGCGCGCGCATGCGCGCGTGCAAGAATGCACACAATGAGCTGGATTTACAGGCAGTTGTGACTCACCTGATGTGCACTAGAAACTGAGCTTGGGTCCTTTGCAAGACCAGTAAGTACTCTTAGTTGCTGAGCCATCTCTCTACCCATCCCCCCCTCCAAAATTTTTTGATAGTTGGGACTACTAACTCCTTCTTGTAGTGGAATGATCTGTTGAAATTATGTTAGCCTTTTTCTCTTACAAGCTGCCTCTGAATCATTAGCTATTCCCCTTTGTTAGTTTCATTTTAAAATTCTTTTGTTGAAGAAAATATCTTATCAAACCCTTATATTTACTTTACACCATTTGGAAGTGGATACTTTAGGGGACTAGGTACTAGTGCCATTTCCTGAAGTTGTGATTTAATTGGTTTTTTAGAAATTGAACCTATACCTAACTGCGACTTAGTGCCTCTCTTAGCCCTTTTTCTCCTTTTTGTTTCCTAGCCTCTAATAACAACAGTGCTATTCCCAACTTGTGATATCAACTATTTTAGATCCTGCATGCATTTTTAATCCCTCTACTCTGAAGGTGGTGGCAGACACATCTTTGTGAATTCAAGGGCAGCTGGCTTTGCATAGCAAGTTCCAGTCCAGCCAAAGATACATAGTGAGACCTTACCTCCAAAAAATGAAGAAAAATATTAGATACTGAATATGAGCAACATCATGAGATTATTTGTCTTTCTATGCCTGGTTTATTTTGCTTAACAGAATAATCTCTATTTCCACTCATGCCACAAATCGAGAAGATTTCACTCTTTATGGCAGAGTAGTATTCTGTGGTGTGTACTTGCCACATTTTCTTTACTCATATGTTGGTGACAGTTAGGTTGACTCTATTTTTGACTATTGTGAATTGTGCTGCAGTAAACATGGGAGTTCAGATGTCTCTTCAGTATATTGATTTCATTTTCTTTGGTATATTTGGGAGTTGCTGAATTACAGTTCTATTTTTAATTTTTTGAGGCTACTCCTATTTTCTCTCATAATAGCTACACTAAATTACTTCCTACCAACAGTGTGCAGTGGCTTCCTTTCCTTCACATCTTCACTAGTACTTACTCTCCTCTGTCTTTTTAATAATCACCATTTTGACTAGGGCAAGATGAAGTCTCATTGTGGTTCTAATTTATACTTATTTCCTTGGTTGTTGGTGACATTTATAGTTTTTGCTTTGTTTATTTTATTTTGGTATTTTTGAGACAAGGTATTGCTGTGTAGCCCTGGCTGGCCTGGAACTCACTATGTAGACCAGGTTGGCTTCAAACACACAGAGACTCCCCTGCCCCTGCCTTCAGAGTGCTAAGAGTAAAGGCATGTGCCATTACACCCAGCATTATCTGTTTTTCTCGGTTGCAATTTTGGGCTTTTTTTTTTTTTTTGGTTTGTTGTTTTTGAGAACTATTTATCAAGTTCTGTTTGGGTTTTTTGCCATTGGAATTTGGGAGCTCCTTATATAGTCTAGACATCAACCACTTGCCAGATATACAGTTTGCAAATATTTGCTTCAATTCTATATGTCATATCTCTTCACTCTATTGAGTGTTTGCCATGCATTTTTTCTTTTATATAATCCCATTTGTCTTTTTTTTTTTCATTTTTATTTTTAAGTGTTTTTCCTACTTGTATGTAAGTGCACTCATATTTAAAGTTCCCCCAGAAGCCAAAAGAGGACATTGGATCCCTGGAACCAGAGTTATAGATGATTGTGAACTGCCTTGTGGATGCTGGCAAATGAACCCAGGTCTTCTGCAAGAGCAGGCAGTGCTCTTAATCACTGAGCCGTCTCTCCAGCCTGGAAAATATTGTTCATATAATTAACCTCTTTATTACCATTTGGTTTCAATATGTACCAATTATCAATAAACCTATTCCATTAATAATCCCATGTACTATATAACAGGTTGATTTTGATGAAAATATCAAACATATTTATATAAAACAGTTATTTCATTTTATCTCTTTTTATTTATTTTTTTTAGACAGAGCCTCATTATGTAGCCCTGGCTGGCCTGGAACTCAGTCTGGAAAACAGACTGGCCTTGAACTCACAGATATTTACCTGCCCCTGCCTCCAGAGTACTGGGCTTAAAGGTATATCCTACTACACACAGCTATTTCAGTATCTCTTAAGGATAAAGACTCAAAAATAACAGTGCCTTATCACTTAAGCAGTCTTTAATATCAAAATATCACAAAATAGCCAATCAGAATTTAGATTTCTCCAATTGACTCACTTTTTTTATACCATGGTTGTATGAATCTGGATCCAAATAAGTCTATGCATTACAATTTGTTAAATGTTCCTTAAAGATTTACTTTATACATATAAGTGTCTTGCTTACATGTATGTATGTGCACCATATGCATGCATTGCCCACAGAGGCTAGAAGAGGGTGGTAGATTCCCTGGAACTAGAGTTACAGGTGTTATGAGCTGCCACGTGGGTGCTGGAAACTGAACCCACATCCTCTACAAGAGCAGCAAGCACACTTAACTATCTCTTCAGTCCCTTGTTAAATGTTTCTTGAATGTCTTTAAATCTGGTTGTGTGCAATTAATTTGTTGATAAGATCAGGTTACTGGTGTTATAAAATTCCTCAATCTGGAGTTTGCTGATTGCCTCCTTATAGTATTCTTTCTGTTTTACAAATTCCTGTATATTGTAAATAGATAATTACATTTAAGGGAAATGAGATATCTTAACAAATTTTACAGATCTCGACTTCCATACTCCTTTTAAAAATCAGGAACTAGGAGCCAGATATGTCTTCCGTAAGGACACAGATTATCACCAGAGGCAAAATGAGCATCAAAATTCAGTTTTCCTGATGACCAGGCCTATACTCTTGATGACAAATCAGTGATTTTCAAACACTATTTCAACAGCAGGTGTCTTCAGACAATCACAAAAGTTGAACCCCAGCTCTAGTTAAAATGGGATTAGGTAAAAATTTACAGAATCTCATTCAGTACCACCAAGAGTTTAGGCTAACCACCTAGGCTCATTTCCTGCCGCAGTCACTTTCTGCATCATCTTACATAGATTACTAATTGGGATGTGCCTCAGTTTTACCTTCAGTAAAATATAGGCACAATAGCACCTAAAGACAGTTGTTTTGTGAAGATTGCATGAGCCTCTACATATAAAACAAGTTTACAAAACAATACCTGACACATAGTAAGTTCTGTAGAGGACACTATTAATCTTATTTTAATTCTCTTTTTCATATATCTGGACTATGGTGACCATTTTTATAAAGTTAGAATGTTAAAAACCTGAAAAGGGTATTGGTCACACAATACCCTACAATCTTGCAAGGAAGGTATGTATGCCACATGTGTTGCAAAACAAAGGCTGTGGCATACCTATGGCCCAGCCCAAAGTGCAGCTTTCCTTTCTAACCTTAAGTATTGAGTGCCTGCTTTACATCAGACATGATCTAAGCTTGTTCCTGTGTAATAGATTGTTGTTACTCTGACTACTCCTTTGTAAACACGAAGTCTTGGTCTATTTACATGGGTGTCTACAGTGTCCCACTGAATCTTAGCAGTGGCATTATATATTTCACCTTTAGGATGTAATGACTCAGACATTTTGAAAATGATGTGGAACAAGACAGTTAGATGTTTTTATATTTTTAATACTAAATTGAAAAGTGAGTTCTTTTATGAAGAGAACAGGTGCATCTTGTTCGGTTTTGAACAACAAAAAGAAAGGGTTCTGATACATCTGCTACATGTATATCATTATATGAAGGTGCTCACAACAGGTTACTGGTCAGCCTTTCTCCAGGCTTTCATCTTTGATGATCTGTTCTGAGATTTAACAGCTTCATCATCATCTTGAGTACATCTAGAAAATCTGACTTGTAATTCGCTATACCATCACACTACTGCTGTTCTTCATACAGAGGTTAAATTTCCAGGAAAAGAACTTGATTGAAAGAAATAGTTTAGCAGTTGTAGTTGGAAAGCTTGGTAGCATAGCTGCGAACATATATTTGAAGTTAATTCAGTGCAGGACTGTATAGTAGCTTGGTCTCACTGAATTTCTGTACATTAAAATCACCTGAGGTGTTTTAAAATACCCTGGTGTTCAAATTATACCTCATGCCAGTTAAATCAGAATGAGATGTGAGCCAAGCATCAGTATTATTAATTAGCATATAATATTTGTACTTTATATAGCGCAGTACTATAGTTCAACACATGTATACAATTTGTAATGATAAAATTAGACCAGTTAACATTTCCATCTTTTCAAATATTACCATTTCTCTGTGCTGAGGACCTTCAAACTCTTCTATTTGAAGTGGCTAATTACTGAAATCTGTGGTTACCCTGCTATACTATACCATGTTAGAACTACTTCTCCCTCTCCGATAGTATTTTGGAACCCATTATCCACCTTCTCACAATCCTCCTTATCTTCCTTGTCTCTAGCAACCTCTGTGCTACTCTAGTTCTATGTGATCAACTCTTTTAGTTTCAACAAATGGGTGAGAGCATGTGTTTTTTGTCTTTCCAGGCATCAGTAGCTTTTAGAGATCCTCAGGCAATTAAGTTTGGAAACCATCACATTATACATTTCTGAGACTCAGTAGTAATATACTTCTTTCACATAGTTTTTGCTGTGTGTCCATACACACACGTGTACAAAGTGATAGGTGATTTATAATTTATTAATGATGTTATCTTTGTCAGTGACCAGAATTTTAGAAATGTTTTTGACAGTTAATTCCAGTCTCTTAGTGAGATTACATGAGATCTACCTTTGGCTCAGTGCAGCCCTTTATCAGAAACCTCTTATTTCATCCGGGTCGGAACCAGTGCCCACCTTTGATATTTCCTTATGTCTTTAACTTAACAACCTACAGAGATTGATTAACTTGTTTTGTCTCTATTTTTTATTAGGAAAATTTCTGGCAATGCTATGTTACAGTTGGGACCCTTCTTATATTGGACATTTCTCGCTGCCTTTGAAGGGACAGTATTCTTCTTTGGGACTTACTTCCTTTTTCAGACTGCGTCTTTAGAAGACAATGGGAAGGTAAAAAGAACATGTTTTTGCTCGTATTAAATCATTGACTGTATTTTTGTTGATACTAAACCACTGGGTTTGTTACACACATACTCTTGCTCTGTAATAATTTTCTGAACTATTTTTTTCTTAAGACACAGTATTTAGTTCTCACAAATTTTTCTAAATAAAGGAAGTACTGAAATAAGAACTCACTTTTGTGTGTGGCCAGGAATAGAACTTTTGTGCAAAACTTCTAGTAGCTTAATTTGTCTATAGTTTTTATCAGGTAGACAGAGTTCTTGAGACTTAAGGCTTTGGAACTCTGTACTGTGATAGGAGACTTTCTTGATGTTAACGCACTCCCTGGTCCTCTGCATTTCTAATTCACAGGGGCCTTCCATGTTCGGAGTTGAAGAGGGCAGCTACTGTGTCTTTGTAGTCCAGCAGATGAAGAGGGAAATCTTTTTCTCTCCTTCCTGCTCATCAAAATGGGAGCACAATGTTCTCCAAAAAGGGATATTTTGGTTCTGTTAGTGCCTTCTGAGACAGTGACAGTGTCAGTGAGCAGCTGCACTGCAATGAGTTCTGCCCTACATGTACCCTAGGAAAGAATTAATGCTGTGAAACAAGGGAGACCATCTTTTGCAGCCACACACTGGGAAACTCAACACCTGCCTTACACATTGCTTTCACTCTATTCTCCTTTGCCATTTCTAGTATTCTTTTCTTATGGTCATTCTTATTAATCATAAATGTGAAGTAAAAAGCTAAGGTTCAAGAATAATTTACTGAGTATAACTATGTCTGGAACCAGCACATTTCACATGTCTTACAGAACTATAAACTCGGTGAATTTGAAAGATACTTTGAAATCAGGTACTACAGTATAAAAAAAAAAAAAAACTCTCCTATATGGACTAACAAATCAATTTAGTAGAATCCTTTAAAAGTATTCATCACAGCTGGGCATGGTGGTGCATGCCTTTTAAACTTAGCACTTTTAATCTCAATGAATCTCTATGAGTTTGAGGCCAGCCTGGTTCACAAAGCGAGTTCCAAGCCGGCTGGAGCTACAGTGAGGCCTTGTCTCAAAACAAATAATTATTCATCACAAAGTAACTGCTAAGGAAATATTGAGCTTAGAATACATATATGTAGCATTTGTATCACAGAAAGTCCTGATAAATCTTAATTATTCTTGGGAAGATCACTTTAGCTTTCCAAATCAATTTTGCCTATTCGGAAGAAGACTTTCCATTTTGTGATTTCTCAGGTCCTTCGGCTATAAATGATTCTGTGACTTTTACTTTTTATTTCTTGGCACAAGATTTTTTATGGAGCTGTCTACTACTTAAAAAGACTTTTGTTTGGGGCCTGAGGACATGGCTCAGCAGTTAAGAGCACTGGCTGCTCTTGCAGAGGACCCGAGTTCAGTTCCCAGGACCCACATGGAAGCTAACAACCATCTGTAACTCCAGTTCAAGGAGATACAATACCCTCTTCTGACCTCTGTGGGCATTGCTTGACACAGGTACACTTACATACATGCAGGCAATGCACTCATACACATAAAAAATAATAAAATATTTTTTAAAAAAGAATATGTTTCAAGATAGGTGGATATTTACCTACAGTCCTGTTGACATGACTTATTGGCTCAGCCCACATTCCAGGTGGTACATAAAAAGCATCAACCCAGCCCTTTTCTGATTCATTATGCATTTTGAGTTCATGAAGTCCAAATTAAGATTTTACTGTATATATCACCATTATTTAAGTGTTTGCTAAAATTATATAAGTGTAAGAATCATTATCAGCAACTAAACCTAACACCCGTGTATGATTTGGTTAAATCCTTTTTTGCTTTGATTAACCTTATTTTGTTTTTATTTTTAAAAACCTTTACATCTCATTTTCTGTTTCAATGTTATGCATTCAGACCTTGACAGCATTTGGTAAGCATCTGTGCCATTCATTGCCATCGTTTGGATTTATAAGTGGTATCTGCTTCTCTTTGGTGTGCACATGCTGAAAACTCTAGTATTTATAGCCAAAAATTTAGACTCATTTTTTAAAATGTGACTCCATTTGTCTGCAAACGAACACTTATGAGAGCTTTAGTTGTGTTCTAGGAAAAATACATGTCAAAATTCTTTAGTGACATGAGTCATCCAAATGACTTATTTTGTTGAACAGTGCTGCTAGTGGATTAGGGTTTTTTTTTCCTCCTGCCTTTTTTAAATTAATGAGCTCCCTGTTTGATGCTGCATGGAATAATGGATATAAACCCAACCGGCCACAAATGTGGTATATCTGACCATGAAAATCTAGCATTGAAAGTTGATCTTATTGACTGGCTCTTTTCCCAAACAATTCATACAAAGATCTTTGGCAGAAACATGCAGGAGTAAACTTGACTGTTTTATTTCTTCAGCAGGTGTGTGTCTTCATGGTACATGTAATTGTTAAATGTTTTTCAGACATATGGAAGCTGGACCTTTGGAACCATTGTCTTTACAGTCTTAGTATTCACTGTAACTCTGAAGGTGAGATTTTTATTCATTCAAATACATTTTATATCACCCTCGTCTCTTAATACTTGTGTTGCTGTTTCTTATCCAAGACCCTATCTGAATGTTCCTAAAACATATGTGTTGTTAAACATTTTGGCTTTAGTATCCTATATCTTTTTTTCTAGTGTACAGTCTGTGCTGTTTTGTTTTGGTGTTGAGAATTTCAGGCACCATACGTACATCAGAAGTATGTTCCTTGTTAACTGCTATTTTTAATTTTTTGATTTTATTATTTTATGTGTATGAGTGTTTTGCCTACATGTGTGTAAGTGCACCCATGTGTGCAGTATCCCCAGATGCCAGAAGAGTGAGTCAGATGCCCTGGAACTAGAGTTCCAGCTTGTTAGCTCAATGTGGGTACTGGGAAATGAATCCGGGTCCTCTCTAAGAGCATCCAGTGCTCTTAATCATTTAGCCATCTCTCTAGCACCAGTAATGCTATTTTTAAGGTTTTGTGATAAGTAGAATATAAACAGGCTGGAAGTTTGTAATATGTGTATTAGCAGTTCTCTGGTAAAAATTTAAATCTTGGGGCTAGAGAGATGGCTTAGTGGTTAACAGTGCTTACTGATGCTGTGCATGATCATACATGCCTTTAATTCTAGCAATGGGGAGGCAAAGGCAGTGGATCTCTGGGAGTTTGAGGCCTACCTGATTTACATAATGAATTCTAGGCCAACCAGGGCTACACAGTGAGACCTTGTCTCCAAAAGAACACTTGCTGCTATTGGAGAGGACTTAAGTTCAGTTCACAGCACCCATGTTGGGAAACTCACAGCCACCTGTAACTGCAGCACCAGGGGATCCAATGTCCTCCTCTGGCCTCTTCAGTCCTCTGCACACATGTGCACATACAGACAGGCACATAAACATAAATAAAAATATATTTTTTTAATTTTTAAAAAACTTGAATCTTTAAAAAAATTATTTATCTGTTTAAGAGTCCTTGGCTGGCTTTAAAAGAATTTGACATTTAAGTGTCTGTGAGCAGAATATATATGCAGGGACCTGGTGAGGTGGCTCAGAGGGTAAATGTACTCCCTACCGGGCGATGCAAGCCTGATTACCTAAGTTTGATCCCAGGAACATAAAGGTGGAAGGAGAGAGAACTGACTCCTCAAAATTGTCCTCTGACCACCACATGCTCATGATGATGCATGGGCCCCCACCTCCAACGTATCACACACAATATAATAATAATAATAATTTTTGAAGATCTATGCAAAAGATCTTAGTAATAAAAGAATTTTATAATTTCAGTGACTAATAGGTTTTATGTTATTTTTGAAGTACATAAAGATATATGACAGGTTAGGCATGGTTGCTCATGCCTTTAATCCTAGTATTTAGGAGACTTGTGGCAGGAGAATCACCAAGAATTCAAGGCCAGTCTGGGATGCATAGTGAATTCCAGGCAAGCTTGGACTGAGTGTAACACCTTGTCTCACAAAAAAAAACAAGTAACCAAAATATCTGTAGGACAGAAGAAGGGTAATTTTGGAAAAATCATTAGCGTTGACATGCAACCATCTAATGCTGTGAAGCCTTGCTAAATGCTGTTCTTGAGCTCATGAATTGGGACTTTCATAGTTGAAAGCATAATCAAATTATTTTGCTTGTTCCAGTAATAAATATTTCACTTAGAGTCTAACATTAAGTACTTTTAAATGAACTCCAACATATTCAGTGGTCAGAATTAGAATTTGAAATATAATTGTCATAGGATCTCTCCATTTTCTTTCTGAATTTTTGCTCCTGCTTCAGTTTTCATACGAAATGTAGCTCACATATTTTCATTATTCATCTACTAATTCAATAATACCATGGAACTTTACTTTTTTATTTCTTCTTCTGTATACAACACATGACTGCCACAGCATCAGAGGACAACTTGCAGGAGTCAATTTTTCCTTCCACCATTTGTGTTCCAGGCATCAAATTGGGTCATAAGGCTTGGCAGCAAGCACCTTACCTGTCAAATCATCTCACCAGCCTTTATTGTAGGACCTAAAAAATTCATTTCAGACTAGCCCCTTAGTAGCTTATGTGACCTTGGGCAAGTGACTCCCCTTCTCTGTGTTTAATTTTTTTCTAGAAAATGGAGATAAAAGTAGCATCCTCCTATCTCAGGGTTCTTTGTAGAAGTCAACTAATGAAAACATAGAACATTAGAGTGATATCTGGCATGTAGAATGTACTCATAATCAGTGCTAATCATTACTATTATTATGCTTCATAAAATTATGATTTTAAATGGAACTCTTCACATACATACACCCTGGCTTATTGGCTGGGGCCCTCCAGGTATACTTCACCGATAAAATCCGCCTTATTGCAGCATCTTTTTATGTGTGCCTCAAAAGATACTCACTCTCTTCTCTTTCAGTGAGTGCTATTATAACATTTTCCTTAGCAGACCAGAGAGTGGGGAATTCAGGACTGGAGGGCAACGTTATCAACATCCTCTTTTTCAATGAGAAATTGTAACAGAGCTGAGGACCATGATGTGGCAGCAAATTAAAAAAAAAATAATTTCTCTGTATAGTCCGTGTGAGCTAGGCATTTTAAGCAAGCACATCAAACCATACCTTATTTCCATAACACATTTGAAAACCACAGTTGCCATAATATTAAAAACTCACCACTAGTCTTCACAAAAACATGAAGAGATTAGAAAGGTAAGGCTGTTGGGTTGTGATGGTACACACCTAGTCTACACAGGAAGTTCCATGCCAGCTAGGCTACACAGTGAGACCTTGTCTGAAAGAAAGTAAAACAGCTAAACGTTTTATTAATTTAATGGGATAGATATTGGTTTCATAGTTGGAAATTCAGGCTCATGATCCATTGTTCCATGAGATATGCTGCATAGGGCCCATTGCCTGTACATGTAGTGACTCTAAGCTGTGAGCTTTCATAACTCCTTATCTATTCTTTCTAAGTATCTTACCCTTCTCCTGCTTTTTGGCATACCTACATCAACCAGCTAGATCTTCTCCTTTGTACTTATATCCCTGGCCACCACTACCTGAAGACTTGGGGCTCTGGCTTCCTAGTTACTACCATTACTTCATTTACTGCCTGTCACTCAGTATGGAGGCTTCTGTAGCCCTCTGCCTTCTAGTTGGTTGGCTTGACTACACTTCATACCAGTACTATAGAATTTAGAGACCTTGGGGCATTCTTAGCATTCTTACCTTAGCACTTTGAAGAGCCTAGCTTCTTTTACTTCTGTTCCCTTCTGGATCCATGACCAAAGCTAAATTCTTCCATAGCTGTTATATCTGTAAAAATTTTCAGATATCATGGTGTACTACCTGATATATTTTGTGCCTGTCGTGAAATTTCTTCTGTTGTATCTTTTCAGCTTGCCTTGGATACTCGATTCTGGACATGGATAAATCACTTTGTGATTTGGGGTTCTCTAGCCTTTTATGTATTTTTCTCATTCTTCTGGGGAGGAATTATTTGGTAAGCAGCTGTATATATATGAGCAATATGCAAATAATAAATAGTCTGTTTTGGAATATTAAATCCTTAAATAAAAACAAAAAACTGAATCACTTAAGGATTAATAAGATCTAAAACATATAATTATAGCATATATATGGCACCTCTCTAGGTAACGATTAAAAACAGCAAAGCTCAAAAAGATTTTATTTTCTTTAGTAATATACAAGTGAATCAATTTATTAAGTATATGCAACATGTATGTCTGCACAGAATACAATATTCTATGAATATGTAATCAACAACTGAAAATTATACAAAATTTCCACAAAAATATTATTAGAACCTAAATAAGTTTCAAAACCCTCACATAGACTTTTCCTCATTGACTGACTCCTTTAAATGATTAAAACATTGTCATATCTGTTTACATTCATTAGTGATACCTACTGAAAATGAAGTACAATAATTATCCATAGTTTCACTTCCTGAGGTTTCAGTTATTCTCAGTCAACTATACTTTAATAAAAATCACATGAAAAAAACTCTAGAACTAAGCTGTTCTTATGTTTTAAGTTACACGCTGTTGTGAATAGTATGATAAAATTGCACACCACCCAGCTCTGTCAGAGACATGAACCATCCCTTTGTCCAGTGCACTCAGGCTGTATTATACACCACCTGCCTATAATTTGCATAGTAACTATCTCACTTTTTAGGTCAACTGTCATAGTATCACAACACTTGTATTTAAGTAACCCTTATCTAGCAAAAGTACAAGAGTAGTGATGCTGGTGGCTTTATTATGCTATATTGTTATAATTGTTTTCATTATTTTTCATTTTTGTTGTGCATACTTTATAAATCAAGCTTCTCGTAGGTAGGTATATATTATTGAAAGAAAATGTGGCGGGGGGGGTACTAGCCATAGCTTCAAGATGTATCCATGGGCTCTTGAATATATATCCCCATGGATAAAGGAGGAACAAATCAGTTATAGTTTGTTACTTGAAGTTCTGTCCTTAAGCAGAGGTATCTAGATTGAGCTACTACATGAGTATAAACTTATAAAGCAACCAACAAAATGTGACTAGAAGTTATATAAAACTTGAGCTGAATTACAACTAATGGCTCTGGACATGTTCTACCCAGAGACATTGAGACCCCTCTTTTAGGTTTTGTAGTGACAATGATTTCTGAACTCCCAAACCAATCCAGTACTCAAAATTTTTGTCTTACTATCTTCCTACCTTCCTGCAGTGGTCCATGGATGCCATCGATCTAACAAATATGTAGATATACTAATCAGCTCAGTGCGAAAGAACACAGTGTGGTTAGCTGCTCTTGTCTGCTAGACTGCTGGTATAGCTCAGTTCATTATAACTGCCTAGGAAATTTTTCAAAATGCTTTTCAGAATTAAATTAAGATATCATCCTGGATAATTCTTTTGTGTGTGTTAGACTTTTCCTAGAAAGCTTGTTTAGCTCAGGCCTTGGGAGTTTCTTTAAACCTTACTGTTCTGCTCACTTTTATTCCACAATTGAATTCTCATATGTAAAGCCAAAAGCTAGATTGTATTGTGTTACATAAGGGAACACAATCATATTTAAATGGCACCAGGTAGTTACCTATCTAGAGTTCCTGAGTTCCTAAACCTATGATGGTCTGACATGCTTCCTGACCTTAAGCCTTTCCCTCAGAACAGTGCTTTAGCCTAGTGGAGTTTTCTGTTGCACAGTTGAGATGGGATAAGGGATATTGGCTGTTTCTCAATGCCACTTAGCAATTGGATGATTTTGAAAGAAAACCTCCTGGATCCTCCTGGATTTCTAGATTCTAAACCGTATTATACTATTAACAGTAGTCTATGAATGTACTGGATACATACTGCTACTCAGTATATGTTTGCAGATGAAAAGAGTAGATTTTTCGGAGCTAGAGAGATGGCTCAGTGGTCAAGAGCACTGACTGCTCTTGCAGAGGACCCAGGTTCAATTCCCAGCACCTACGTGGTGGCTAACAATTGTCCATAACTCCAGTTCCAGGGACTCTTGACGCCCTCTTCTGACCTCTGCAGGCATTGCACAACATGGGTGCATTTACATACATGTAAGCAGTGCACTCATACACATAAAATAAAAATAATAAATAAAATATTTTAAAAAGAGTAGATTTCTCTCATTGAGAGTGACAATATATTCTAGAGTTCTGTTTTACATTTATATAGCATTTTTAAGGGTATCATTATATAAAAATGTCTTTTAAAATTTATGAATGTAGAGTGAAAACACTTGTTTTAATATACTTGTTTTAATAAGGCAGCTGAGGAAATAAAGTGCTTGTTAGAATGAGAATTAACTTTATTTCTCTTGAATATTTTTAAGCTCTTACATTTTCTAATGCATGTAAATATTCACGAGTTGGCAGTTTTATAATTGATTGCTTGATTGTTTTCAAGTCAGATGAATTATTCCTTCTCTTTCTAAACATTTGGTAGATGAAATTTGTTTACTACTTTTGGGACATTCCAAGGAAGATTATTTTTATTAGTGTATGTAAGGAAGATTCCTCTTAAATACAAAAGATGGTCTCAATTAAATTTCTGTTTTGCTTCACAGGAATTGATCTATTTTTCCATTGTGTATTTTCTTTCCATTCTAGGCCTTTTCTGAAACAACAGAGAATGTATTTTGTATTTGCTCAAATGCTCTCTTCTGTATCCACATGGTTGGCCATAATTCTTCTAATATTTATCAGCCTTTTTCCTGAGATTATCCTGATAGTGATAAAGAATGTAAAGAGAAGAAGTGCCAGGGTAAGAACTAAATTTGTATTCTAGCCTAATATTTGGAAGAGGCTTCTCTAGCTACCATGAACTGAAAATCTTATTTAGAGATTTGCATTAGTTACAGCATGTTAAACCCCTCCTTGCAGGTTCATCACTTAAATACCTCTTCTGAATAAAAGTATAGTAAAAACTTCGTTATCCAATGCAGGTGGTAAGTAGATTCCTTAATAGTGTTCTATGTGACCTTCAGCAATCCATACGGAGTATCTCATATGCTCCATATGGAAATTTTAAAGGAAAAAACATGATTTTATTTTGTATTTAGCTCAGAATTTTTACAACAGGAATTTCCACACCAACATTTTCTCTTTGACCTTAGAAATTTCCCTGTGAGCTATTTGCAGTTTTTCCCCCCAGTGGATAATCCCAATTTGCCTCTTTGAAACATTTCCCCCTTCTTTTGATTATAGTGCTGCTTAATCTCTGTGTTGCTTCTAGCCCTGTCTCCAGCAGTATATTTCAACCAAAGAGAATTCCTTGGATATGGTTTTAGCATCCTTTACCCTTCTGGACACACTTGTAAAAATTTCATGATTGTTTTATAAGTGTGCCTTTATTTTCAACTGTTAAATTGTAATTCCTTTGAAGTGATGTCCCTCTGTCATATTACCAGATACCTTTTGAACATTTCTTTAAAAGCCTTTAAAGAAAAAGAGGTAGATATCCCTGGAAAATAGAACCTCTGGCAGATTTTGTACCAACAAACAGATTAAATATAGCATATTCCTACCAAAAGTAATTCACTTTGTTAAAGTCCTACATCTGTTGTATTGATACCCACTAAATCTTATTGCACTCTAAGGGAGTATATTTTTAGGAAATAGTCTTAAGTCATGACTACCTGATGTATTTGATCAAATTTGCCAACTAATTTAGTCACAAAATTGGTGTATCATTGGGGGTTTTCTCACATATTGAACTATAGAACCCAGTGGTTGACATAATGTAGGCATGAAGATCTGGAAATTATTATAGTAGTGAAGTTTTTAGTGGTTAGAAGTATAAAAGAGGGACTAGAAATATAGTTCAGTGGTAGAGTATAAAAGAGAGGTTAGGAATATAGCTCAGTGGTAGAACACTTACCAAGAAAGCCTGAGAGCCCAGGTTCAATTCTCAGTACTGCTGAGGAAGAATCAGCATATAACTAGGTGGCAAGAATTGCTCTGAGCCCCCTGCTTCTGTTTGACTTATGGGATAGAACCAAACACAGTGTTTTCATAGATGAGACTGTATAAGTTCATTCTTTACTCCTTCCAGTAGGCCTTTGACAAACTCCATCCATCCTGGTTTTTAGTTTTCGGATGGAAAAGTAATAATGTAACTACTTGGTTATATCTTGATATCAGTTGAACACGTTGATAGAACAGTTTTCTCCCAGACTGGTTCAAATGGCAATTGCATGAAGTCAAATAAAAATGCTGCACTAAGAAATGAAGAAAAGGGAAAGACAGAGGAAAAGATGAAAGTGGTTTGGGGGGTAAGGGTGTAGTTCAGTTAATAGAGTATTTTTCTAGCATGCATGAAGCCCTGGGATCCATCTCCAGCACTGCATAAACTACATGTGGTGGCAATACCTCTAATCCCTGGCAGGAGGAGCAGAAGTTAAAGGTTGTCCTTGGCTCTGTCCTGAAACCCTGTGGGAAGAAAGAAGGAAAGAGGAATGGAGAAAAAGGAGAGAGGAAAGTGTGAGACAGAAGGAGGAAGGGAAGGAAAGATTGCTTTTTATAATAGAGAATTTACAGAGGAGGGATTTCTTGAGTCACTCTTACATTTTCTTTATTTGGAAGTATATTTGGGGTTCTCTGAACTATTTCTCTTTGGGTTAATGGAGCTAATGTTGTATAATGGCTCACACTGAGCTTTATGCCCTAAAGGTGGTACAAAAATCTCAGGAATCAAAATTTTCATGCGTTAACTTTCTGCTTACTTAGGCCCATTTTTAAAGAATTAGATATCAGTTGGAGTGTTTAGTGACATTCATACAGATTATTAAGTGGAGAGGTACTTATTAGAAAATCACAAATATATAGATTTAGAGTGTTTTCTTTCCATATAAACAGGGGATTCCAAATTTCAATTGAAAGCATATAATGTTGCCAGGGGTTCAGCATGAAATTTGTAATGGGTTATATCCATGACAGAAGGCATTCTAATGTCTGTGCTATAGCTTGGCATGCTAATGTGCTAGAATAAGCAGAAAATTTTCCATAATCATTTTCATTCATTCAATCATTCATTTATTCCTGCCCTCTTTGAACCAGTAAACATTTATTGAACCGCCTACTGATGAACATCTCTCTTTATATCTGATGTCTGAGAGGCTAAATGGTTTTTCAGACTCTAAGATTCTGAGAGTTGCAAATGAGGCAAAACAATTCTGGGCACTCAGTAGCACTGTCTTTTTCTGTGTGTGTGATAAAATGCAAGAACAAAGTACTGCATATGAATGCATAAAGGCCAACTGAAACATGGCAACCACAGCTATTGTATTAGTTTGCATCTGTTTCCATTATGCCCTATTGTGCTGTATCAAACAAGCAGAAGCCAACTTTTTTGAACAATGGAGAATAAGTATCTTATTTTTCTTAAAATATTGGTCTTTGTGCTCAGTGACCAAGAGTCTAACAACATAAGTGATTTCCTACTTTGCTCAGTATTTCTTGTTAGCAAGGCAGTGGCCTCATTTTAAAGTAAAGCAGCATTACTTTATGCTAGGTCAGCCTCACAGCCCAACAGATGATGTAATGAGGTTAAATGTTTGTCCCTGTGTAGTTTAGAAGATGCCCCTGACTTCAGTAAGCATCCTAGACATTCTCTACATATAACTAGAATTGCCTATATTGGTTAGGCTGCCAGTGCTATCCACAAGTAGGTCATGGCAACTGCTTTGGAAAGGGAGCTTAGCAGTGGGTAGTGACTCTGCCTCTGTAATATTTGAGAAAGAAGCTCATCCAATTACATTTAATAATTTATAGAAGCAGCTTTATTTGGGGTTCCTTTCACTTCAGCTTTTATTGCCTGAAGATCCATAATGAGTTAGCATGTATAGTAGATGCCACTAATTCAGGGCTGAATCAAACATGGCCCCAGCTCAGAAGGAGCTTTGTTTCTAGTTATGACGTTCATTCTGAACCCTTTTAAAATTTTGATTTTTTTTAAATGTGTATGAGTGTTTTGCCTGCATGTATTTAAGTGTACTACATGTGTGCCGTGCCTACAGAATCCAAAATCCCTTGGAACTGGAGTTACCAAGGGTTGTTAGCCACCATTTGGTTAGTGGGAACTGAACCTGGGTAACTGCTGGGCCATCTCTTCAGCCACCCATAACAAGTTTGGATTCACTTCTTCCAGAAGCCTCCAGTAAAGACTAATACCACAGCCTCCAGCACTGCTGAGATCTGCCATGGTGTTTGCATTATAAAGAACACTCATTAAGCCTCACCCCTAGCTAAGGAGCTATTGACAGTTGATGGCTGCTGGGGATGGAGAGTCAGTTTCCATCAGTGGTATGGTCCATGGTAGGTTGCCCTTGTTCCAGTGGATGGTGCCCTGCATCCATGCACATACAGGCAGCACTAATTGGGTTTAGTAGTTTTTTTGAAGAAGATAAAACTTGGGAGGGGCATGTGGAGGGGGGTGCTCCATAGGAGGAGCTGAAGTGGGGAGCAAAGGAGTAGATATGATCTAAATACATTATATTCATGTACGAAATTAACAAAGAGTAAATTTTTTAATGGACCAAAGACAGAAATACATTTTTTGGAGTATTTATGTCTTAAAACCAGAAATTGTAAAGAAAAAGGTAAGCATATTCATGAAGATGCCTAATGGATAAATGTCTAATTTGAATTTTTTTGAGGCAGGGTTTCCCTGTTGCCCCAGCTGGCCTGAAACTTGCTATGTAGACCAGGCTGGATTCGACCTCACAGAGATCTGCCACCTGAATGCTGGGATTAAAGGCATGCACCACCACGCCTGGCTAATTGTTTGTTTGGTTTTGTTTTGTTTCTTTGTTTGTTTGTTTTTTTAGAAGAAGCATTTCATTTCAGCTTTAACATATTCAGTAACACATTCTAGAGCAAGGATACATCTCTTTCAAAGGTGGCTGTAAATTTTTAGGTTCACAGTTGAATTAATACAGTCATACAATATTGAACTCAGTATAAACTCTGTACAACAGAAAATTGAATGAGTTTTTACCGTTTAAAGAAGATCTCCATTTCATTTTAAGACATGCTGTTTCCTACATTTTTAATGTTACTAACACTTAGATGTTTGCACATGTGTCTTTAATCTCTATGTATCTGGTTATTACTAGTCACAGTCGGTTACATTCATATCCTTAGTACCTAAGTATGTAAACTCATCAGGTAGATTTCACTGGTAATTTTTATCACCTCTACTATTTAACATGAAGTAAATTTTTATGCTTCCTCCTCAAATATGTCTTTTTTTAATTTGTTGATTTGTGCGTGTGTGTGTGTGTGTGTGTATCATAGAGAACATCACACACAAACTTATTCATCTATATACCCACTTACCAAATGGCACCCTCCCATAGATGCCCCCTTCCCACACACTGGAGCCCATATACTCTGTCATCCCTGTTACAGTCCACTGTGTTGTTGTCGTACCCCCCAGCCATCCCCCAGTGCTTGTCTGTCTGCTGAATCTAGTTAGCCTATCTAGAGAGTCTCATTTTAGGAAGGTCAGCTGTTCCTCATCTAGCAGCAATCAGTTGTCAATATTCCTTTAGATAAGATTGTGCTCTGCAGTTCATTTTCCCAGTTCTATGCTGGGTTACTGTATGGGAGTCTTTTGGGCCACTCTGGCCGATAACTCAAGGGAAAGTATCTCCTGTCTGGCATTGTTTCCTCTGATATCCCTGCTACTGTCTGCTGTGTTGTCAGTACCCCCAGCCATTCCCCACTACTTATCTATCTGGTGAATCTAGTCAGCCTATCTAG